TGTTCAAATAAAAGCCCTGGGGTCAAAATTGGCCCCGCCCCAAAAACTTAAAAAATCTTCTTTGAAAAAACCCAAATAGCTAGAGTTTAGATATTAAGCATGAAACATCTTTAAGTAAATATCTACAAAGTTTGTTCAAATAAAAGCCCTGGGGTCAAAACTGGCCCTGCCCCAGGGGTGTCATTGTTTTTAACTATATGTGTATAGTAGAAACTTTTAAAATCTTCTTTTAAAAAACCGAATGAGCTAGAACTTAGATGTTTAGCATGAAACATCTTCTTATGGGTGTCTACCAAGTCTGTTCAAATAAACAAATAAAAGCCTTTGGGTAAAAATTGGCCTGGGGGTGGGGTGGGGGGCCTATATACAGGTGAGCGACCTCAGGGCCATCATGGCCCTCTTGTTTAAAATTTGGATAAAATTCAAAATTTTGAGCAAATAAGTCCTAATCCATTCCAAAATCAAGAACGAGCACAAGTGTTTCAAAACTTATATCTTTTTGATCTTTCAAAGTGAGAATTTACCATTCAGACTACTATTGATTTCTTTATGTTAGATTTAGAGTGAAAATTGCCGAGACATGCCAAATTAATCGGCGAGGTTCCACCTAGATTTTAACCTCTGTCGTGAATTCGTGTATTTTAAACTGGCATTCCATGACAAAAATAAAGCGATATTGTATCTTATGAATGACTTTTGCAAATTCCTTAGTTGTTAGCACTTATGCTTATTAACAAAAATCACATTAAAAATTCACAAAACCAAGAGGCCTGTAAAGGGCCCCTGACCCCTACACAATTGGAGCGTGAAAAGCCCTGGACTTTAGGCTAAATAAAACGGCATGACTACGTTCATGTGTCGCCAAAATAACTATGAATTGCAGGTTTTACTGCTGTTACATTTGTCAGGGGTATGTCATGTGACTCGGTGACAGTTTTATTATATTTTTAAAGCAGCGATGGCTATTTCAGAGGTCAAGGTAACATGCTTGTGTGTACATGTGAACGTAAAATAATAGCATCAAATAACAATTTTCTAAATTTTCAACCACATGTAATCTGTTACTCAATGCTGTGAAAACTCGGTCTTAAAAGTGGGTTACATGCATGTTGTGACAATGTATATGCATTTGTGTGACTGGATTCAGTTTGATACTACAGATACTTGTTACTTTTGATAATTTAATTTCGAAAGTCAACTGGCAAAAAACAACAACAAAAAACAACCTAGTAACTGTATCTCTTCCAGTTTCATTCCAGCATACTTTGATGTTATGTTTAACTCTTCCATGAGCATGATCTTTGCCATATCTATATTTTCTATCAATCCAGCCGTTTGTTGATAGTGTATCTTGTGGACTTCCATAGTATGTCCCAGATGATTGGCTAAATACTGTTGTTGTTGACTATTTAAATCATATATCTGCAAGAAAGATACACCAAACTAATTTTATTTTGCGAGAAACAAGGCCTTTCGTTTTTTAAATGCAAATACTTTGCTCTTGTAAACTGTCTTGTGTGCAGAAAAATTGTGGATTATAAATTTCTTGTAAAAAATAAAATAAATAACCTAATACAAAGTAATCTTACAAGCATTTTTCTCACCGCATGTAAATATATTTACGTATCACACAGCGCTTGTCAATAAATTTAATCCTTGCCTCTGGGCATTCATTACACAAAAATAGGCGGAAAAGCGCAGATGCATGTTTGTAATATATAGGATAGAGACATGGGAAGAAGTATTTGTTGGGATGACATTTCGTAGGATCTTAAATTCGTGGATTGACCTACCTACGAAAACCACGACAATTAGTGCCCCACGAATAATAATGATTTTACAGTATATAACTTTTATAGAAAACCTACCACTAAACCATGCTACATAACAAACACCTAAGCTCTAGCTATCAATGTTTCAGAGAAAAATATTTTTAAAGTTTGCACTTTTTAAACCCCTTTTCAGGTCCCTGTGACCTACTTATCCAATGGAACATAATCATTTATATCAATTTAAAAAGGATCACTGAGGGATTATTCCAGTGAAGTTTCATGAAAATCTGTCCCGTGGTTAAGGAGGAGATGTTGTTTAAAGAAATTGTGGAAACATGACGCACAACAGAGGCCAGACAAAGACTGATCAGAAAAGCTCTAAGCATAGCATAGATGAGCTAAAAAGAATAACAAACTAGAAATGTGTCCATAGGACACAGGTCCCCCCACACTCCACTGTTTTGTCAATCTTATGACTCCAGGTCAAATATTTTTGGGCTACATGTGCCACAAGTTTAAAACTATTTTTTGGAATATTGGTATTCGTTTTTAAATGTTCGAATATTCCCGGCCCTACTTTTAATAAAGCTGTTATTTTATAACAACTTCCAACATACTTACCACCACCCTTTTCTTTTATACTTGAAAAAGTATCTGAACACAGATGGTTCTTTGTCTTCAAGTTCCTCTTCTTCTGTTAGTAGTTCTCCTGGATAGATCACTAAGAACTCTCCTTTTCTTCTAGTAATTGTTGTTCTTACAGTACTGGACACGCGAAACCCGCAAAAGTCGCGTTATGCCGCGAGTGTAGTCTATGTCGCGACGGGACACTTCGCGGTAAAACATCGCCGCGTGCAAGTTCGCCGAATTTCGTGGCGGGTCACGAAAAATCGCCGCGATGTATCGCCGTAATTTACGGCGAATCTTCAGCAATAATTGTATTAGAAAGTACTACTTGGTCCTTAATTCCCGTGGTCTTTAATTTTGAAAACTTAAAAAAAATCTTGTAAACGTCTTGTATATTTATAAATATTTAGCATTTGAACATGTACAGCGTATACATTTTGTATATTAAAACAAAGCAATCAGGTGCTGGTGAAAATTAGTTAACAATAAAACGAGATTGAAATTACAAAAGGTAATTGGTACTACATCAAAGAACGCACGATAACAAATTGTCCAATTGTTATTTTGATAATAATACAAATGTAATTAAAATCCATTGTTTACTTTCGCACATATTCTATTTTTAGAACAATGCAAAGCGACATTTAGCACCGATTCACAGGTGTAACTAATTATTACGTCTAATACGCTAATTATGATTGTTGAAAATTGTAAAAGTTTTATCACTTAAATTGACATTCTTTACCTTCAATTTCACGAGTAAAAAATGCCAGGTGCATGAGTAGGTGATGAGTAGGTGATGAGTAGCAAGATGCAAATCAGATTTTTTTTTATTCCCGCCAAATCAGCCAGGGCATTTGACCCAAAAAATTCCCTCGAAAACAAAAATAAAATCGGAGTTAAATCACACATTTAATATGTAAAGTAACGAGTGATCATTCATGAGGGCATTCTGTGCATAAAATTAGGGTGTTACTATTTAAAGTATTTACATAAATAGCGACCAACCAGGGAAGGATATTTTCCTTACGTCACGCAGTACTGCATGCGCGCGGCAATTAAGTTGAATTAACTTATAATAGCACGTATCAAATTAAGGTGTGGAAACGGGATTAAAATTTTTTTTTCAAATTAATGAATATTTGTAAAGCATTTATATGGTCACTAGTTTACCATGTGGTAATTTTAATGTGCTTTGGGGTACATGTTCGTTTGTTTATGACTGACGACACTGATTAAATACTATAAGCCCATGCAATAAAACATTTCTGGTAGAAGCGTGGTCATAAAATTGACCGAAAAAAATATCCTTTCATATGCATTATTGTTTTGATAGCAGACACAAGTATTGCACAATATCTTCAAGATCATTAAAATGTAAATAAAATATCACAATCAAAATGCACTTACGATTAATAATATGTCAATAATTGACACAATCAATATCCAACATTTTTTTTACTTAAGCAATAATTAAACATGTGTAATCATTCCTTGACAAAAAGAAATGACAGTTTTTTTCTGATATATAAAAAAGAGGTGAAAGTCAATCGAGTGTCGGCATTTCTTTGATGATTCGGCAACAACTACAGGTGTGTAAACATCAAAGATTCACAGATTCTTCAGAAGAGCCGACCAGTCATTTGTCAGAGGTCATTTCGTGTGTAAATTTTGTATTTATTATTTAACAATGGAAACATTATATTCCTTTTATTTATGGATGCTTCTTTTTTGCGCGAGTGTTTTTGTGTCTTTTAGCGCTATGGAATTTCAACAATCGGCGATAATTTTCGGTAACTAACAATTAAATATTTTAACATTTTTAAAAACAGGGGTGCAAATATCCGCCATTCAGAAATTATAGCAGACAAATCTTGCGTGTGTTATTTTTTACAAACGTGTAATAAATTGAGTAATGATCACCCGAGAGAACGAAATGTCCCGGTGATCCACTACATTTAGAAATGAACAAGTTAATGTCGTATCAATTATGTATCTTTTTATGTAACTAAATATCTTTTTACACATATATTATATATCTCTACTTTAAACTCAATATGTACCCCCCCCCCCCCCCCCCCCCCCCCCCCCCTAAAAAATAGTTTTACACGTGAACATGCACACTATTTACCTGCAGATGGAGCCGCATACTTGTACTGCGTCGCATTTATACATTGAGGTCATGATTCCGCCATTCACGGAAAGTTTTTAACGGTGTTATTTGATTTCGCCGTGGTTATTTATATTTGCTGTTGGCATCAAAGATAAATAGAGAAAGGGCATTTTAGCAAATTACAAGATTTTCTTGATACAACTTCATGTAGATCTACTAATTAATTTTCGTACTTGTACATGTATATCTGGTTTCAAGTTCACAGACTACACTTATAAATAGATCTACATTTATTATACAAATGAACATGTATTATTCCCCGCGAATCGCGGCAAATGTTCACGGCAAAATCGCTGCGAGTTGAATTCGCATTATTGTTATATTTAGTACTGTATACCAAAACCTTAAAATACCTTCTTGTAAAGACCCAAAAGGCCTAGAGCTTAGATATTTTGCATAAGGCATTGTCTGGTAGACCCTTACCAAAATTGTTTAAATTATAGCCCTGGGGTCAAAATCAGCCCCGCCCGGGGGGTCATTGATTTTCACTATATGTACATTATGTCAATAAAGTATGAAAATTAACAATGGGCAATAACTCAAAAATGAAGAAGTGCCGAGTACCGGTTCTTGTGCACTGCACTTGGGGTCATTATAAGAAGCATGCATACCAAGTTTGAAGTCAATCCGACTTATAATGACTGACTTATGCTCTGGACAAGCTGACATGGCTTTTTCAAGGCGACACAAAAATATTTTACTGCACCAAAACTTTATTCTGAAATCTTGATTTTAATACAGTAGTATGTAACTCACCTCTGATGTCTGGCAGGCTCTGGAAGTTGTATTACCACATATCTCAATGTAATGAACCCTCTTCAACCACTTCCGAACTTAGCACCTCTTCAATTCGCTGTCTCTCTTCCTCTTCTTTCTCAAGTAGCTCCTGAGACTTGATGAGTTCATCAACACACTGAAAAGCGAGAAAAAGAAAACACATCAGACTTAAGCGTTCCTTGTTGATGTTTTTTTATCTTATTTTATAATTTTTAGCTAACATGTAACTGTTACACTTTTAGTTATTAAGCAGATTTTTGCTAAATCTCAGCAGTGGGTCTTGATGGCAACACTATTTAAGTGTTGAGAATTGAGTACTGCTCAAGCCTGTGCTAGTACACCAGCTGTTGCTTTGACGGAAGGAGTGCGTAGACAACTGAGACACAGGATTCACCTAAAGGTACACGGATGACAAAAAGTTGTTGGAACTGAGAGGGCGCTGTAGAGTGGGTGCCATCCATAAACCATCTGGATGCACTATCTAGGAGGCGAAGACCGTCATTAGTGGCGAAGATGAGGATACGGTTGTCTGGAGACTCGTTGTCGTAGATGACATTACTTGCAAACTCAATAGGGAAAGGAACAGGAACATCTCTGATTGTTGATGGGGTTCTTAGGTGCTGTTCCTCTCTTGGCGCGTCTCACAGTTTGCTTCAAACTCTTTACGGAACTGGCAGCAATAACCTGAAGTAAAAATAAAGCAACAGTTTTCATGCACTCAATTCAATTATTTCATTTTCCTATTTCACAGTTGTTTGTCTGGCCTTTGTGTCTGTACATTCTGGGCATTTAACATATTCATCAGTATTGTCATTATATCATTAATATCATCATTAAAAGTAATCTTACTAATATAAATTTCCAAAGTGGTTTATTTCATGAGAAGACCCATGTGCATTTTACAGAGCATGTTGAAATTTAAAAAAGAACAATTTTGAAATTTACAGGATTTCTATGAGTCTTATTTATTAACTCACCTCTGTAGGCTGCAGCGATAATTTATCTGTTACTATCTGTCCGGGTTTACCACGGTTAGCTTCAGCAGATGCTTTTATCTCACTGCGGACTTTAAGTGCCTGCATTGCGAATTTGTCAGGAGCATGACTGTGCGCGGTTTCAGATTTGACAGAAGACACCTAGAAATAGAACATAAAGTTAGCATGCTGAAATTAATATTTACCTATTATAATTCAGATTTATGCATACTTTTATTATGATGTGCTTTATGTCTCCATTAATATTTTCATGTAATCTCTTTTGCTTTACTTAAAAAGAGTGCTATACAAAGGTTAAAAAAATAATAAGACGAAAAAAATTAATTCAGGCATAACTTGCACAATTGATACATATTAGTTTATCTCATGTTCAATGTACCAAATGATTATTATTGATTATATACTTACATGTAAATCAGTAGTCAGTGCACCTTTACAGTTCAGACCAATTCTCTGAGAGCATTCCCACCGCATTGAGGACTTATTTTCATTTTTCTTTGTGTAGGCATAACCTTCATACAGAAGCTTACGAGAACCTTTGTTACTTGTAATGAATTCCATTTTGGGTATTCATGTCTATTGCAGAGAGCCATCATATTATATACCCAACAAAATAACAGTTTGCAGTTAAGTAAAACAAAGATGAAGTAATTTTAGATAGCAAACTGCAATTAATAGCCTCATTTTAAGTTATTATCTGGAAAGATCTAAAGCTAGTGTGCAACAAATTTGCCTTTAAAGGTGTTTATCATTGCAAAGATTAATTGATTGTTTGTTACATATAACTATAATTGCAATGATTAATTATAATCAACTATCATTTATTTGTTTGTATTATTTTACAATTTTCTCAGCAATAATAACATCAATAAAGGGTGTCATTATTAACTGGCTGTGACAAACATACACCTTTTAATTGTTTGTATGCTTTTCTCTTTTTTTTCAGCAATTCTTGAAGCAGTTGGTTCTTAAATTCATTGAACTAAAAAGAAAAATAAGAAAAGAAATTTCCCAACCATTTCACATTATTTGAGGGGATTTTGACTACCCACTGAGGGGATTATGACCATCCCTTTATTTTTGCCAAGGGGATTATGATAACCCTGTCATTTCTGTTGAGGGGATTTCGATCACTATGTCGTTTATGAACCAAGGGGATTATGATCAAGGGGATTTTGAGCGTCTCCCGAAAAAAATGAGCATAATGTCACTTAAAAAATATTTTTGTTGTGAAATGGGTGAACATGGTTGGTATTAGGCAATTTGTTGTAGTAAAGAATGAAATTTTTAAGCAATTTGCTTGTTGTGCATGAACCAGTTGCGAAAATAACTAAAAAATAAAAATCAGACATATTTCTGTCAGTAATCTTTTCAATCAAATACTTTTAAATATCAGCTTTGACAGCTTATTTCTTATAATATTTAAAACAAAATACTATTTATTAATCACACTTATGCAGATTGGATAAGGGGCCAGTTCATAGAATTTTTCCAGTTATTCTAGAGAGGGTGTAAAATAATATAGTAGACACAAACAGAATCCCTAAAGAAAGTCATGACACCATTGAAAATGTTGCAGGCTCGTTTGGTTGAGCCTGTTCATGGACGGTACTGGAAAGTGCAAGTTACCGTCCACACCCCCTAGCACCGGCTTAAGGAGAATTCAACATTTAACGAGAAAATGGTGAAATTGTGAATTTAGAAACATCTGCAGATGTGTTCAAACGACAGTCATCATGGAACCTTCAATGCGACACAGTAGTGTCATTCCATGAAAAGCGGGTATGATCCCCAAGTAAAAGAATGCGTGTGCCCTAAACACGAAAACAATGGGCAGAAATAAATAAAATGGAATTTTGAAAGGGGATCTGAGGTTATGAATCCTGCATATCACAGACAAGACGTCAAAATACCCTGAGGGAGAAACAATGTATTGCATATTTTTCAATAAAAAACAATAATAAGCGATATCAAGCTGTACGTAAGGTAGGGGTCATTTACCCCTTACCCTACCTTCTGTAATCCTGCATGAGAACAGTCTCTTGAGTGGCCCACTGACTGAGCCCTTTCTGAAATTTAACTTCTTTGCAGCTCAAATTTGGGGGCTAAATGGTTTGGATGGGGTTTATAAAAGTGATCATACATATAATGCCTAGGCAAGCATAGGCGGTTAAAATTGTCGGAATTTCTCACAGCAAAGCAGTTGAATAACACGATCAACATTTATTTTACCACCTAGCAGGATTTGACACACGAAAAAACAGCCTTGAGCAGCTAATTTCCTCACCTTTCTAAAAAAAAAAGCTTGGGAGCTTCCAAGAGTCCAGGGATGCCTGTGTCCCATGCATTTAGCATACCACAAAAGCCCAAAAATTGACCACAAGGGCATTTATTATGTAGATTATGATCCCCTTCGACCGACATATTTTCTAACATCAGTCAGTCTTGCAGTCAAAATATTGAGACTAATAACAGTACTGAGTATACAAAAACTATTTAATTAGTATACTGTAGCCTAATATATTACAGTAATTTTGGAAATGTACAAATGCTTAGATCTTACTGATTTTCTATTCCTTTTCTCAAAGCCTCCATAGGATGTCCTTTTCCTCTTTGGTGGCCCTAGGTGGCTTACTGATGAAGGTTTGTTGTTGTTTTTAAACGCTTCAATTTCTGGAAAAATTGTAGGGACTGCACCTTTAACAAGCTGTAGTTTCAAAGTCAAACCAACTGAGTTCATTATACTCGGTGGATGTACAAATGACTCGTCGGTGAAATGTCTAGAGCACAAACGTGAAGTTTTCGTCGGCACAAATGGCTTTAACGTTCCGTTAACATTTCTCAATGATTTCACGGCATTTGTGCACTTCTTCCTCAAAGTATCATCCTTCGGGAATAGAAAAAAACCTTTCGTTCCACCGTCACTTTTGTTACGGCATCCAAATGCCACACAGTGCACCATGTTTTCCTTTCGAACACAAATTACAGTGATAAACTATTAAATAAAACAATAGTAAATCCTTTAAACAATGTTAAATGCACCTTCCTTTATTACACACACAATATAACACAATATACACAGCTGACACTTCGCTATTTTGATGTATTCGCGGGAAATGTTTACACACGAATGACTGTCACGCAGTTTGACGCGGTCGATAGGAATATTCCTACGTCATCACCAAAAATGGCGGCGGAAATTACCGATCGCGTTACGGAAAAAAACGACTTACTAAATCACATTTTTTTTACAAAAGGAGTTTACAAAACATTTTTTCAAAACGATTTTTGAAATCTACGTATGAAATTTTATAAAAATTTGTAAAATATATGCAATTTTGCAAATTCACCTTTAAAGAGATTACAATTGTGTAATCAGCCTTTTTTCTGAGTTAGCAAGACAAAAGCGAGTCTGAATTTCATCTACAAAATGTATACGTAAACGTCGTCTGCTTTACCGGTAGTCGGTCAATATATAAAAGTACCCCTGTGCGGGCCTCAAAATGTGCATCTGCTGCACATTTGCACAACAATGGAATTCCCGTACTTTTTATAGGCATGTAATGTTTTGTAAACAAACAGGTAAAAGTCTGTGTTATTTTTCAAATATCTTACCAAACTTGACAAAATTTCCAGATATTGCCGAATTCCAGCAATAGTATGAGATGGTGAGCTTGATTTGATTAAAAATTCTGATAACTCGATTTAATTACAAAAAGCCGAGTTTATCAACCATCCGAAGTTATCTCCCCAACCAGTATGCTCATGGGGGAAAGGGTTAACTAAAAAATTATAAATGTTACAAAACAACAATTTTTCACCAAAATTAGGTAAAAGACCACATGTTAACATGGAAAAACTAGATTTTGGGTGATTCCAAGGTTTTTCATCATTTTTTGATAACCTTTTCCCTTATATAAGCGTGTTTCGGCAGAAGTATAATTTATAACTATGTAATAATAAGATATTTCTTATTATTCATTTACCATAACAACATGCAAAGCAAAGTTAATACGTTATATATACTTTTGTAAAGTGGGTCGAATTGACCCGTGCCGAATATTAACCCGTGCCCAATTGGGCCGAGTTTACTCTTTTCGTTAGGAAACTAGCCAATATGACTGAAATACTGTTGAAAAAGGCGTAAAATGAAACAAACAAACAAACAAAAATTCTAATTCTTACCTAAATGTGGCCCTTTTTGAAATAGATCTATCAATTTTTTGAACATCGCCGACATGTTTTTTCATTCATATATTTGAACAGTTTGCTCATTGGTTAATTTTTTGCGGTCGGTCTATTTACCCCAAGACACCCCAAGACTACCCCAAGACACCCCAAGACTACCCCAAGACACCCCAAGACTATCCCAAGACACACCAAGACTACCCCAAGACACTTTGTTTAACTGATATGTAATTACGATCTTATTTTACAGTGTTCACGGGAGGTAGCTATGTTTTCACATGTACCTATAGAATTATCTCCCTTCTCAGGGATATCACACGTACGTGTCAACAAGTTATCAACCTAATGGCACTGATTATAACTCTATTTTGATGTAGTGTAAGGTTATTTCTGCGACAATGTCATTTTATGAGTGGCGCATTTTTGATTAATTAATCGATCATAGACTGTTTTATAATATTGATTTGTATTTCATCTGACCCGTATGTCATTGAAGTAATATAGTCAGTAAACTTTTAAATTTTTAATTTAAATTTTAATCAAAAGAAAATTTTCTATAGAGAGACAATCAATAAAAATTTTAATGATGAAAAAAGCCAATTCACAATTGACACTATTTAATCTATTTGACAATAAGTAACAAGATGACAGGTAGATAATCAGTGGTAAGTGCAACGTTACCTACCGTTTTTAATTTGCAATCACACGTCGATAGAAAAAGAGAAGAACATACAGGTGTTAAGTCACCTCTGCGTCAAATTGACATGTATATTCCCTGTTTTTTTAAAAGTGTCACAACACACCTGGGAATACCTGACAAAAAAGTGCATTATGCACAGACATGTCGTACCTGGTATCCTGTACAGCAGTAATTGACATGTGTATTGCCAACTTAGGTGCCATTTTTTTTTCGCACAAATCTAAGATTCTCACCATAATATCCCTATATATATCCCAATTTAATTTAAACAACCATTATTCTGTATGATTAATTGCGAATTACTATAACCGTTATTTAAGCACTAATACAGTTTAGTTGTTTTGTTATAATATCAAACATGCCAGGTCGTGCACTTAAACGAGTGAAAGTGAATTATCCATGCAATATTTGTAAGCATACTTGTGATGAATCTCAATGTGAGGAACCCTCAGTTTTATGTGACGCATGTGACAATTGGGTTCATATTTCATGTGAACAGATTTCTACAAAGGATTTATGCTACCTAGACGGTGACCATCCATACACGTGCAGTGTTTGCATAAGGACAGCTGATGGCCCAACAGATGCGCTTAAACGACTTAAGCAGGTAATGTTTTGGTTATAACTCTATCTAACCTATCAAGAAAAACAAAACAATTAATATGAACAAGAGAGTCATGACTCACTTGGCATAAATGTTTTAATTAATACAAATTCAAATACTACACACAGTTTAGTATAAGGCCACCATTAAAATGATACTTTTTTCCTTCAAATAATTAACTTTCACAACAAGAACCGGTTGAACTAGGTGATGCTCCCCGAGAAGGTCTTGGACACAGGAAAGTATAAAAAAATGATCAAAGGGCAAAACTCCAAAATAAGGCAAGGCAGAGTTATGTTTTTTTTGCACTGCACTTCTATTAAATGAGATCTATCTACCTACAAAGTTTCATGTTGATATCTCTAATAATTTTAGAGTTATGTCCCAGACAAAAGTAAAAATAATCAAAGGGCAATAACTTCAAAATTAGACAAGGCAGAGTTATGGTCCTTTAGCAATGCACTTCTACCCAATGAGGCCTATCTACCTACGAAATTTCATGTTGATATCTCTTATAATTTTAGTGCTCGCCAATTTTTTTTAAGCCAATCACCGACGAGGATTTTTCAAATTTTTAGGTTTCAAATCTTAATAGAACAGATTTTATATAAACTGTATGTTTTATATTATAAAACGCAAGTGGGCGGAGCTAAGTTTCGAAGAGCGCTAAAGTGAAATATACGCATGTGCAGAGATCTTGAGGTTTACTCCTACTAATCAATATTTATGCATCATGTTTTTTTCCGTACACGCACATGTATATCGTCACTACGGCATAGAATTAAAAAAGAGGTTCATTGAAATGAAAACAGGCAAAATAACAATAAAAATGTTTTATTACTTACGGAACCAGTATCATTTTATAATTTCCAAATAAAAAGTTCACTTATTCTAACAAAGTATGTATGTATTATTTCTTACTTTTTTTGTAAATATTACAGCCCATGCCGCTGCAAAACCGAAAGTAGGGTGTATTTATTAATTTTACAAAAATATGTCGAGGTGACAGGCGAGGCAAGACATGTCGACTTTTTGTAGCTCATTGTGAAGTTGCATTACATGAAAATCGGGCACATGACAAATCAGCACATAAATAAAACATTCTAGTGTTCTGTGGTATACATTTTTTCTACGTGTCATACCTCCTTTCCTTATTACAATGAATTTTTACTGCATTGTTATCCATCGCTGGTTTGTTTTTAGCAGAGAATGGCCTGTGTATGTTCAAAGAGGGTACCGTGCAAAGAGGGTACCGATATGGATAATACACCGTGATATTGTCTGATTTACCTAGACAGAATGCGGGAATAAGCTATGCAAAACACGTGACCCGAAAATGTGTACCGCTACCTCTTCCAAATATGGTTATACACATTTAGGCTATCGTGTGACGTCACGCAGTGTGTTGGGCGGAAAAAATGGGCGGAGCAAGCTCCGCTCCTTTTTAGCTTTCTTATTTACGAAAAACACCCAATATGCACTCTAACCTATACTTAGAGTAATATCCCACAAAGTTCAAAGACTTTTTTAAGTGTCAAAATGAACAAAGGGCAATAACACCACATTAGACAAGACAGAGTTATAGTTCTTTTACAATGCACTTCTACTCAATGAGATATATCTACCTACAAAGTTACATGTTGATATCTCTTATCTCTTATACTTTAGAGTTCTGTCCCGGACAAAGTTCAAAGTGTAAAAATAAACAAAGGGCAATTATTCAAAAATTAGGCACGGCAGAGTTACGGTTCTTGTGCACTGCAAACCTTCTTAATGAGATTTATCTATCTGCAAAGTTTCATGTTGATAACTCTTATAGTTTAAGAGTTAACTCTTATATTTTAAGAGTTATGTCCCGGACAAAGTTCAAAGTGTAAAAATAAACAATGGGCAATAATTCAAGTATTAGGCAAGGCAGAGTTACGGTTCTTGTGTACTGCATACCTACTCAATGAGATCTATCTACCTACACAGTTTCATGTTGATGGGCAAAAGTCAAAGTGTAAAAATAAACAAAGGGGAATAATTAAAAAATTAGGCAAGGCAGAGTTACAGTTCTTGTGCACTGCACACCTACTCAATGAGATCTATCTACCTACAAAGTTTCATGTTGATACCTCTTGTTGTTTTAAAGTTATGTCCGGGACAAGAAAAGCAGACGGACGGACAAAGCGGCGACTTTATGCTCACCCTTCCAAAAAAAACCCCCAAAAACAAAACAATTTGTCACTGAAAAATGACTGTTGACCCGAAGTAATGCATTGACATGAAATGTGAAATATTTGCCGCAATACCAATGATATATACCGACCGCCTTTGATAAATTAATTTGACTGAAATTCCATTAGAAGTTTAGGAAAAAAAGTCTTAACAAATTTTACAAAAATAAGCTTATTTTACTCGAAAATTGACCATTTAGGGGCAAAAACTGTACCAGGCATTCAAGAGAATATGCACAACCAGGCTTGGTGACAAACAATCCTGTGAAGTTTCAGTGAAATCCCACCAGCGGTTTTGGTGATGAAACGCATACAAGCTTATTTTATTCAAAAATT